AATATGGAGGAAGGGAAGGGGCAGGGGCCCAAATAATAATGGCTTCTCATGCAAACATATAATCTTTCTCGTCAAAAAGCCAAAGCAATGAGTTTTTGTATTGCATACTCATTACCTGCTTGTTAATATTTCTCACCTTTTCCCTACATCAAAGTTAATAAATATTATTCTGTTAAAAGGATCGGATTTAAATCAAATTTTATCTAGTTCAAATTTAAACCCAGTTTTAAAATTCCGATCTGATCTTCTGATAAATTTTATTTTTATGGTCCACGTTCAAATTCATTAACAANCGGATCGGATTTAAGTCGAATTTTATCTGGTTCAAATTTAAACCCAGTTTTAAAATTCCGATCTGATCTTCTGATAAATTTTATTTTTATGGTCCACATTCAAATTCATTAACAATTTGAAATCCGATCCATAATTTAGTTCGATTCAAATAACTAAATTTATCCGTGAAATATAAGATTATGACTTCTAATTATAAATAAAAAAATATTTATTCATATCCGACCAATCAAATTTGAATCGAATTTAGAATGTCCATTGAGACACCTACATCANAGGATCGGATTTAAATCAAATTTTATCTAGTTCAAATTTAAACCCAGTTTTAAAATTCCGATCTGATCTTCTGATAAATTTTATTTTTATGGTCCACGTTCAAATTCATTAACAATTTGAAATCCGATCCATAATTTAGTTCGATTCAAATAACTAAATTTATTCGTGAAATATAAGATTATGACTTCTAATTATCAATAAAAAAATATTTATTCGTATCCGACCAATCAAATTTGAATCGAATTTAGAATGTCCATTGAGACACCTACATCAAATGAAGCAATAGGAAGGCAAAGCTAAAAAAACCCATGATTCCAGGCGGATTCTGCACCTAGAATTCTGTTTGGTTTTTTTTTTTTAACTGGGCCCGACATTTTTCGTTTTAGAAACGACTACTTTGGTGTAGGGCCGTCATAAGAATACCTACACTCCTGTTATGATAATGTAATTTCATCATCACAAGGTAAGCAAATTTCATAATTGGAGGGATATAAGCTTGCCTAACCAAAAGTTTTCATCCTTATGTAAAACTGACATGGTACAACTTTTTCATGCTTTGAATTAGTTCAAACCTCTTCTTTTTTTCCTTGACTGGGATTTATACTGGGTTTAATTACCATGAAATATGATTGTGATCACTACTCTTACAAATCATAGTGTGCAAAACCTAGTACTAATGGAGGATCCGAATAGGAAGAAAAAGAAAAATGAGTAAGTCATAAAAGCGATTTAGTATAAACAAACAAATAATGTTACGTTAGACCAAAAATTTGAATAAAAAATAAGAATCAAATGATATGGTACTATAATAATGATGTTTTTATTTTTTGGTTTAATGGTAAGGGACGTTCAGACCAGTTTTCGTGGATCTCGACTTAGCTTCTATCCGATCTGGTCATAGTCAGGTCATTCACGCTAAGACTATCTTTCGTGACCTGATTCCAAAGAGTTGCTAAAATTCGAACTACCTCTTGTTACAATTTGAACTACCTCTTAAAATTAATAATGATGTTTTTAGTCTCACTTTTATTCATTTATAATTCAAATTTTGTTTTCTATGTCACTGCCACTTCAGTTGATTCATATTTTTCGGTCAATTTAACGGTACCACAAATCCAAAATATAATTGATATTCTCTGTATTATAATTTCACTTAATTTCACAGTGTATTTTCCATTGATTGCTCCAAATTACTGTGGCATTTAAAGATTTGCCAGATAAGTCACTACTGTTGGTCTTTGACTCTTTACACTGCTGTATGCTTTGATGCCAAGCCTTCTTCACATACCTTTTTAAGTAAATCTAACTAGAACTCAAGAAATTGAGAGAGAGAGAGAGAGATTCTTCCGCGTGGGGTCCAGTTAATGGGGTCAAGATATTAAAAGAAACATGAAAAAGCTTGCCTCTGAAATCATTTAAATGATGGGATCCAACGTTCGAAAAAGGACTTGAGAGATTTTTGGCTCTTATTCACTTCAAAACCGGTAACGTATTTATTTCTTGTTATATCATGAGGTTGCCCCTCACGGGCATCACCTAACATTTATTCCTACTTTCACCAAATACTGTTATTTTAGTACCTTAAAATTGAACAAGTGGGAATTTATTTGGAGAAAGATAGAGTTCCTTGCGTAGGATCCATCATTTATCTTTTCTCATTTTTGTTTTATCATCATTCATCTGATTCTCTCTATACCCTGTAAAGACGGGAGTTTCGTATATTAAATACGTTTTTACTCGTCTCACTTCATTTTCTATTGATAAAATACAATCATAATAACTCTTATGTGATTTTGAATTAATGAAAAATCATCAAAATTTAAATCTTTGTTTAAGGTGAATGAGAGACACTAACCTAAATTAGTGAAGTGACAATAAATACTTAAATGACAAAAATATTTTTATAATTTCTTAGAAAACATAAATGTTCACCCTTTCCTATTTTTCCTCTTCTCAAACCATGACAAATATGCAAATTGGCACACGCGCACACATTCCTTTCACTCTATTCTCTACGGAGGTTTCACGCACGCAACCCACTCGTCATCGGTCACCACACACATGTATTAATAGAGAAGTCTAATTACAGTTTATCTCATAGTATTGTTCCTCTAACAAATTCATTGGACACAAAGTTGAACTTCATTTTGATTCATGCATGCTTAACTTACTTAGTATTACAATTATAACATCCGATGATCTCAACCGTATGATTAATCATAAGAATTTTTTAATACGCCCGTGCTTAAATTTATGCCACTGCATTGTCATCACTAGTCACAAGGTTCCTAGTGGAATTGATGAGTCGGTTATTTAATCAGGATCCCACATGCCATGTAGAGAGTTATATGGAGGGTATCAGTGTCCAATCCTAGTGCATGATTTAAAAATAACTTCGTAACTCTTATATTGTGTAACTGACGTAGGCATTATTCACTCTGACCAAAAACAGTAAAAGAAGAAGACATAGCATTATCTACTCTCATTGAAATGAGTAACTGGGCATTTCGTATTCAAAAAGTTTGTAAGTATCACCGTTATTTATTTGATGGGTCTAATTGATACATTAAATTCACCAATTTGTGTAGGATTGCCGGACCCAATCCATATGAGTGAGACAGCATTTCCACAACGTAAAAAGGAGCGATGATCCGCACCACAACATATAGTCCAAATCCTTTATAAAGCGATCAAATGAACTAATTTTTGCCGGATCTTGCCGTCCAGTCCAACGTTCAAACGGTCCCACGGATGAACACACTTGTCTTAACCTGATTTGCCTTCTCCACTCACCAATGGAAGAACGGCATCAAAAGGGAATTATAATTCTGTTCAATACATAATGTTACTGGGACTGGGGACATATCCAAGTCAAACCCCCCAAATCGAAGGGTGATAATCCCACCGTTTTTGGCGTCTTTATGTCTGTGTTATTTCTGGGTTTATATCAATTATTAATTAATTATAATTAAACGTATTTAGTAATCGACTGTATCGTATTGACGTGATTTGTTATTTTTATATCGTACTTATGTGGACACTTTGTAATCTATGAATAAAAAATTTAATGGTGAGATTTAGTTTAAGATTCTATTATTATTTAATCAAATGTATATTTATACTTTTTTTACAAATTAAAAATTAATTTAATAAATATAATAACAAAAATGAGTAAAAACATATCTTTTCGTATAAGAATTATATCAATATTTGATAAAAAAAAATAACAAAAAATTGAAATTTTAATCTTACAATACTAGTTAAGCGTGTTAGTCGTGTCAATCTTGTATTGATATTAATCCAATCTATTTATTATTTGTGTTCACACATCAAGTTATTTACGAATTTGTGTTAATAAATAATTAATCATAATTTATTAATTTCATATTAATTTTAAATTATATTTTTGTGTGACGTATGACAAATTGTCACCCCTTACTCAAAACCACCCAACTACTCCGTTAAGTCAATGGGCATTACGTGAAATTCTTTAATTTTGGGGGTCCAAGAAAACAGGACAACGGAACGTTTCTTTCTTCAGTGTCTTTTTATTTTCTCTCTCACTTCTTCTGCTTCAGGAGAACAGAGTACGTAACTCTCTCTGTCTCTTTCTTTCTTTATATCCACTTCCCTCTCGCATTTAATGAGCTTCTTCGAAATTTGAATGCTCATTCACAACACACGAGAAGCTTGTTTCATCTTCCATTTTCTAGCTCAGATCGGATCCAAACTCAATTAATTTCCCATACATCCAAGTGATATATATTTTTTACTCTCCTTCAAATCATCGGACTTCTGCCGGAAATTCGAGAAAGTCGCCGGCGGAAAATCATTGTCTTTGTTCGCAGGTAAGAGTCTTGTCCTTAGCTCTAATTCATTCTGTTTTGTATGTATAACGGCATTTACGTACTGTTGTCTGCAATATATTTCTGCGTCTTACTTTTCATGATCAGATCGTCACATTGTTGATTCGTTGTAGAGTAAGGTTTTTCTGGAATTCTTCGGTTTTTNTATGTATAACGGCATTTACGTACTGTTGTCTGCAATATATTTCTGCGTCTTACTTTTCATGATCACATCGTCACATTGTTGATTCGTTGTAGAGTAAGGTTTTTCTGGAATTCTTCGGTTTTTTACTCTGTCATTCATATAAATACACACACTCAAACACACCAAAAAAAAATAGCTGCTTAGAACTGTTGGTTTATGATTGGAGCTGGACCATAAAACAGTACTGCATAGAGAGGAACAGACTGTTCTTTCTCTGTCTGTGTCTCTCTGCTGTAAGATGTGTGCGTTTTCTCTCTCTACTGTAAGAGAGTAAGCAATTGATATTGTTGTTCAATGTATACTAATTGGGACGGTGTTCATGGTTGCAGAGTGCTCGCTGCAATCAAATCAAAGTAATCTGGCAGAGAGAGAGAGAGGCAACAATGCCGCAGCAAGAAAGCAATCTCAACGCCAAGTTCAACAGTCCTTGCAAGAATCTGAGAGGTCTGAAGGCCTTGATTGCAAACAATAATCCAGACACTTCAAGCACCGAAGAGATCATCAATGACCATGAACTGGCTCAGAGAAAAGCCGAAGAAGCAGGTACTCCTCAAGAAATTAATTCACTATTTGCATATACATTAACGTTAGCATTAGAATTAGCATAAATGAAGAAAATAACAATATTTAGGGTAAAAATCATAATTAGTCCTTAAATTTTGCCCTTTTTTTTTTTGAATTTATACCCTGAACTTCCAATTGTTCTAATTTAGTCCTTTAACTGTCAATTTTGTATTAATTAAGTTTTTTCATCAATTTTTATTGTTAAATCAATTGAAAACTAACCCAATTTAGTCAATTTCAATATTGATCTAATGGTGAAAATGGAACAAAGGACTAAATTGAGACAAAATTGATGATAGTTGTGAGATTAAATTTAGATAATTGAAAGTTTAGAGACTAGATTGATATTAAAGATAAAATTTAGGAATTAATTATGATTTTTACTTAAATATTATTTAAAAAAGAAATTTAGGAGTAGTGTTCTTGACTTATTCTAAAGTCTAAAAGCAGTGGTTGTGTGGTTGCACCCAGAAATCAAGTTTGGAATAGAAAAAGGTTGTGCGGCATATCATGATGCTGTGCAGTTGGATTAGGCAGATCTTCTAAAAATGAGAAAGGAGTGGTGCCCACTAGCCCCCATTACTTGGACCGATGCGGGCCCACCTTTGGAGTGGTGGGTCCAATCAGGGCCCACTTTGCACACTCCTACTAATTATTAGTAATATAACATCTTGATTAGTGCCTAAATAGGACCATTTCATTATTATAAGTAAAGACTTTGACACATCTTATCTTGCCCATTATAATTAGCACCATCGAATGGCACCAACCTTTTAGTAAGCGGCGAGAATTAAGATTGAAACCCAATTTTTTTATGGGACTTCCAACTTTCCAACTAGTAACTTAACATTATTTCTATGGGTAGGAACTTACAACACTGGACAGAATTATATTATAATGGTCGGTCAGTAGAATTTCTGTAATTGACAATTTAATAAGCTTGATCACCCCATTATCATGATTTCTTGTTTAAATTTTTATTTCATAAAAAACTAAAAAATACATTTAATTTGTGAAAATATTAAACATACTTCCCTTTTCGATTACAACACTTCAGTTTTTATATAATTCATGCAAATCAGTTGGAGAAATTTAAAAGCTTATTTAAAGTAATTAGACTCGTAAACGTAATGGTTTACAATTAGTCATTGTTTGCTTGACATGCCAACAAATAATGCAGTCACTAGATCAAAAGAGTTAGGATAAATTGGGGTGTGTGATTGTTTTAACCTCGGATTTACCCTCAATTGAGTTCCATTATGTTAGATTAGTCTTGCTAACTCTGGTGTTGTCTCTTCGCCGGTTAGCAATACTATACACAAAAAAGTAAAGAGATATATAGAAAGAAAAATGATTACCGATAATACCATCAAATAGGGAATGAACAATTCATATTTTTCGACAAGAGCAAGGTGTCTGCATGTTAAAAACATTTAAAGACATCTAGCTTAATGTATATTGCTAAAAAGTCAGTATCAAGATTATATTTTTTTCCTGACTACATGAGGTTATGAGCAAGTTGGATAAAATGTTAGTAACTGAGTGATTGTAAATATTCGGAATTGCTCTGCAGTGTTGAGTCTAAGATGATCTTGCGCTATATTTCATTAAAAACAAATCTAGGAATAACTAACAATACCAATGAATGAGTCACAACACTATGTAGGCCTCTTTTTGAGTAAACCACTAATTAGGCCTTGTTTGTAATTCCAGCTTCACGGAGGTATCAGGCAGTGGAATGGCTCCGGCAGATGGACCAAGGTGCGGCGGAGGTACTCCCAAAAGAACCTTCCGAGGAGAATTTCTGTCTTGCACTCCGCAATGGTCTCATTCTCTGCAACGTCCTCAACAAAGTCAGTCCAGGCGCGGTTCACAAGGTACTTAACTGATCTAACATATATGTGTTTCATTCTCCAATTTCTACAACTTCACTAATATACTTCTAATTTTTTTTATAAATCAGGTAGTGGAAAATCCAGTCATCGATGTTCAGTTGACGGAGGGTGCAGCCCAGTCTGCTATTCAGTATTTCGAGAACATGAGGAATTTTCTTGTGGCTGTTGGTGAGATGAAGCTCTTAACATTTGAAGCATCTGATCTTGAAAAGGTTTTTAACAATAATTTCTTCCTCAACTATAAAATAAGGATGAAGATTCCCAGTAATTTGTATAATTCTCTTTGAAACATGTATTTACAGGGAGGTTCATCAAGCAAAGTTGTAGAGTGTATTCTTTGTTTGAAAGGATATTACAAGTGGAAACAAGCTGGTGGAATTGGAGTTTGGAGGTACGGCGGAACTGTGAGGATCACATCTCTCCCAAAGGGATCACCGTCCTCTTTGGTTGGCAGTGAAAGCACTGACGAGTCACTAGATGATTCTGAATCATCACAATATGAAGAGCTATTAGAATTTCTCCATCTATCCACCGAAAACTCACTTGAAGAATCCAAAATAGCCAATGTGTTGACTTTCCTCTTTGATCGTTTTGGACTTGGAATTCTACAAGCTTATCTGACAGAAAGGAATGGAGTTGAAGACTTGCCTTTGAATTCTATGGTGGGTAAGATCTATTCTGCTTTCTGTATTATGATATTATTCACTCCGCAATGGACATGCTCATTCAAAAAAAAAAAAATTGTAGGTGATTGATACCGTACTAAGGAAAGTGGTTAAGGATTTTGCTGCATTGTTGGTCTCTCAAGGCAATCAGGTAGTAACAACTGTTGTATTGTGTTATATTTGTTATTAATTATTTAGCAAAATTATTTCATCAAATTTACAGTAACCATTTGTTTACTACATACAGCTTGGATTGTTTTTGAAGAACTTATTGAAGAGTGATTACATTCCTTTATCAAAACCTGAATTTCTAGAAGTCATTTCGAAATATCTTGGTCAAAGAACTAGTTTGGTATCAAACGATTTCTCCAAGTTCTGCATTTGCGGTGGAAAACGTGAAAGCAGCTGGCGTGACATTGATTACTCTACTGATAGTGTAGATGTACTTGGCCTTCAACAGAAACAGCTTGAGGTATGACCATTAATCAGAATTCATTCCTTTTATTATTAGCAATGCATGACGTGCGTGCACATAAATAAATTTAAATAATATTTTTTTTAAAAACGTGAATTGTATGTGTAATTAAAGTAAATAATAAATTACATGTTGAATAATTAATTCATATTTTAATTATTGTTAAATTTAATTATTACTTTATTCTATAAATTTTTGAGTATCTAATATGTTATTTATTTAAAAATATTTTTTTATTTCGTTAAATAGATTGATTAAATTGTTTATAATATTATTATATTATTGCATACCAAAAAATAAAATATAACATATATGTTGAGTCTTCGGCACATGGTGGTGCACATAACCATAGATAAGTCTATATTTTAGCTACCTTAGTCTTGGTCCAACTTCTTAGAACCTTTTTTATCTATTCAAATAAATATTGTAAAATGCCAAGTTGGCATATTGTTAATGCTCAAATAGACTTTTCATATGTTTCTGACCTAAAAAAAAAAAGATTTTTCATTCAGATTTGTGAAATATCAGTTTTTTNATTGTAAAATGCCAAGTTGGCATATTGTTAATGCTCAAATAGACTTTTCATATATTTCTGACCTAAAAAAAAAAAGATTTTTCATTCAGATTTGTGAAATATCAGTTTTTTGGCTCTATTGTTCAATTTCAGGAGCTAAAATTTTTTTACCAAGAGACAAAAGGTGAAGTACAGCAAGTACAATTATGCTGGGAGGAAGAACTTAGAAGGCTCGGTGAGATCCTATAGACTTGTTTCATATTGAGAGTTAGAGATTTTGCTGGATTAAATGGATAAAATCGCAGTTGATCTTATTATTGTCATTTTAGAAGCTTGTGGTTAGACTTTATATAAACTAACATCCATTGTTTCCTCAGAGCATCATATCAAGGGTCTTGAAGTGGCTTCTTCTTCCTACCACAAAGTTTTGGAAGAGAACCGCTTACTTTACAATCAAGTCCAAGACCTAAAAGGTGATTTTTTGTGTTTCTAAATTCTCAACTAATATATTGGCCACTTATGAAAAATAGACCTTATTAAATCGAGTTTGCTGTTTGACAGGAACCATTAGAGTTTACTGTAGAGTGAGGCCTTTCCTACCAGGGGGACTTGATGGGCAGTCCACCGTAGACTATATTGGAGAAAATGGCAATATCATGATTGTCAATCCTCATAAGCAGGGTAAAGATGCTAGGAGGGTGTTCACTTTCAACAAGGTGTTTGGAACAAATGTGACACAACGTATGTTGTCTTTCCCCTCTTCTGTCAATCTTTGGCACCTTTTTTGCATAGTAGTTTAATACAAATTATGAATAAGGATACGTGCTACCAAGCAGCTGACATTTAAAGGAGCATAAAAGGAAATACATTTGTACGACACTGGCACAATGTCTTATACGAAAAGCCAAAATATGTGTTGAGTTGACATACTTTGGAAGTAGCCATAAAGACTAATTTAAACTTCATGAAGAAATAAAATACATTGCATGTGCCTAGTTAATTCATCTATGACCAAAGCAATAAGAAAGGACCTGATGTTGATCCATGATATAAGTACATATGACATTTAGAATTCACAACTTTCTCGTGCTATCATGAAATTATATGCTATTATAGAATGTACGATGGACTCCCTAGCATCATTCATCACGTATGTATATTCTTTTTCCTGCAAGTATTGCATTGGCTCATCCATATCTTCTCAAAATTAAGTTTTAATATGTTCTTCTAATCCTACTGTGCGCTAATGATATTTCTGACTATTATAAAAGATTATGTAATCCTATCTCCNTAAATACATTGCATGTGCCTAGTTAATTCATCTATGACCAAAGCAATAAGAAAGGACCCGATGTTGATCCATGATATAAGTACATATGACATTTAGAATTCACAACTTTCTCGTGCTATCATGAAATTATATGCTATTATAGAATGTACGATGGACTCCCTAGCATCATTCATCACGTATGTATATTCTTTTTCCTGCAAGTATTGCATTGGCTCATCCATATCTTCTCAAAATTAAGTTTTAATATGTTCTTCTAATCCTACTGTGCGCTAATGATATTTCTGACTATTATAAAAGATTATGTAATCCTATCTCCTGTTTAGGTTTATGTAGTGCAAGACACTAGCCTCAGCTTAGTATCTTGGAGCATCCAGGTATAGATGAGTCACGTATTTGCACTTATATTCCTAGGATCTATCTTCAGAAGAGAGAATAGAAAGGTTTTTGCTGGCTGTTAGCCACCTTTTGCAATCCTTTTTCTTTATCTGGGTCTGGAATCGGTTGTGCAAAGACTAAGCATGACACAGACAGAGTTCCATAGATGCCTGATTTGTACTCTCTATGTATAAGCTACAAGCCTAAGCTATTTACTTTCTCAAATGCCTCATAACTGTTTCTCTCTCTCTCTCTTTTTGGCAGAGCAAATATACATAGACACTCAACCATTGATCAGATCAGTACTGGATGGTTATAACGTCTGTATTTTTGCGTATGGACAGACTGGATCAGGGAAGACATACACGATGGTGAATGTTCTGTTTTGACTTTTCTTCATAGTATGAGAATGTATTTTATGCAAAGTCCTTGATGCTGCTCCAATGCCTTTTCTTTTAGGTCTGATACTGATAGTTTTTAGGAAATGTGTTTCTTTTAGCTGTCTAGAATTCAGTGTAAAGACCAAGAGGCTGAGGCCAACACCAATTATACTTGTATCAGTATTATCTAAACTCTCATGTTCTATATTGTTTGGATCATTTTCCATTCATTTGACACTTACTATTAGTAGCCATGTCTGCTTTACTTTTGATGCCCTTGTTTTTCCTCGGTACCTCAGTGGGATCTGAATTCTTCCATTGGGATGTCCATCCCTTCTGTTGAATGATGCAGGACCTTGGGAATCAATTTGCATCTTCTTCAAACAAACGTGACCAAATAAATAAAATTAAAAAAAGGAAGAGGATGAATTCTCTGGAGTCGATATATACAGATTTTAAAACTGTGGAGAGAGTTAGTTGTCTTGCTATTATATTTATGACTTCTTCTTATCATTTGTGTTTCATATTTACAGAGTGGCCCTGACTTGACAAGAGAGGAGACATGGGGTGTAAATTATAGAGCTCTCCAAGACTTGTTTCAAATTTCAAAGGCCAGGCTTGACTTTATAGAATATGAAGTTGGAGTACAAATGATTGAGATATACAATGAACAAGTGAGAGATCTGTTGGTCATTGATGGCTCTAATAGGCGATATCCTTTCCAAGTTTATTTTTCGTTATTGACTTGATAACATGTGAAGCCACCCCATACATTTTTTAGTTAGTCTAATCTTCATTTTTGGCTTTGACGAATCTGTAAAATCATCTTTTTGTCCATAACTTAACTACCTGTACGCTGGATATACGAAACAATTCTCAACTGAATGGTCTCAATGTCCCCGATGCAAGTTTGGTTCCAGTTAAATGTACTCAAGATGTTCTTGATTTGATGAGAATTGGCCAAAGAAACCGCGCTGTGGGTGCTACTGCTTTAAATGAGCGGAGTAGTCGTTCTCATAGGTAGACATTTTTTAGTTTGAACTTTTTTTTTCCGCATATATTTTCCCTAATCCTTTTGGTTTCTGGCTGCAACCTTTTTCTGCAGCGTTTTAACAGTTCATATCCGAGGAAAAGAGTTACATACGGGCTCCATTTTAAAGGGCTGCCTTCATCTGGTGGATCTGGCTGGAAGTGAGAGAGTGGATAAATCTGAGGCTGTCGGTGAGAGATTGAAGGAAGCACAACATATAAACAGATCTCTCTCTGCACTTGGAGATGTCATTTCTGCTCTTGCGCAAAAGAGTACACATATTCCTTACAGAAATAGCAAGCTTACCCAAGTACTGCAAGATTCCTTAGGTAATGAATCAAAACATATGGTTTAGAGATCTCCATTGCATACACAAACTCGTAAAGTGGTTGTCTTTCTGCCTTGCCTTGTGCTGAATTATGGTTGGACAGTTGGTGTTTGACCAAAAGGATTTAATACTGCAAATGGCTGGAGGTTTCGAAATGACTTTTCTTTATTATAAATAAACTCTTTTTCAGGACCTACTTTCATTATGGGAAGCAGGTTTTTAATTCATTATGTATGCTTGATATTTTTTTCTTATCATCTTCCATCTTGATTTTAGGTGGGCAAGCAAAGACCTTGATGTTTGTACATATAAATCCCGAGGCTAATGCTGTAGGAGAGACAATCAGCACCCTCAAGTTTGCCGAGAGGGTTGCCTCTATAGATCTTGGGGCAGCTCGATCTAATAGAGAAACTGGTGAAATCCGGGAACTTAAAGAAGAGGTATATTCCTTTCAATCACTTGTGCAAGTGTGCTTTGGAATAATTGTAAGAGGAACTTATTACTAACATTGTTCTTCTCTGGTTGACTTAGATCTCAAACATCAAGCTGGCCCTTGAGAAAAAGGAGGCTGAACTGGAACAACTGAGGGCTGGGGGTAGTATTCGAACCCCAGTCTCACCTCTTCGTATGCCAAGAAATAACACTACTGCCACCATGAAGCTTGACATCACTAAGCAACCCGTCGATGACACTAGAAGCTCTGAGGTAACTTCATTGGAAATCACATAGCAATGGAATAAGTGCATCATGAATTCATTGGCCTTTTGAGCTGAAATTGAAAGCAAATTTAAAATTACTGGACTTAGTATTTTGAGTCACCCATCGATGTCCAGTGAAAAAAAAAAAAACAGTCATCGCTTGATGCAGGACTTCTCATCTCTTGTGGTGAAAACTTGAGTTTCAGGTTAGAAGTTGTTCTTCGGGAAAGCAGAGGAGGCCCCGAGTTCCTTCTAAGTTCACAGACAAGGATATTATGCCAAAAGTGCCATTCCAAGCTGAAGAGAGATCTATGGGCTCCATCAAACCAAGATCACCATCCCCTCCCATCAGAAGATCATTATCAACTGATAGAGGGGCCCTCATAAGAAGTAGGATCAAGCCTGATACAACTGACAACCCGCCAATCATCAAACTACAGTTCCCACCTAGAGTTGCTGTCAATAAATCCGTTCCTACCATACCTATAATTCCTTCAACAGAAAGCATGAGAGGGCATTTGGGTTCACAAGAGCCACGCAATCAGGAAAACATTTCTGATGCATTGTACAGCCTCCAAAGGGCCACATTCAGGAAAGTTCACCCAGAAAATGAGGAGGAGCTGTTTAAGCAAGCGCTTAATGTAAGGCAAGGTGGCATTAGGAAAAGCAAACCTGAGTGTAAGGTCAAGCCCAAGCATCAGCTGCCCGCTAAAAGTCAGAAGTCTGATATCACAGTTCAATTGCTTTCTGAGGTGGACTCTGGTGGAATAATGGAGGAGGCTCGAAAGAGTGATTTCTCAGAGCCAGAAAATGAGCCTGGTCTTGTTGTGTCACCAGTACATGATCATGGCACCTTGAGGGTAAAAAGAGATCACCGGAACTTTTCAAGGAGTTCACAAAATGCGGAACCAAGGTATGACTAAATCTATACTTTTGGGGAATTTTACTAACAGATACCTGTACTAAAATCCAGTTACAACTACTGTGCAACTATTGGAACCTGTTAAAGTTGACATCTTTGTTTGCTTCCATTGACACGAGTAAATTTTACTCTCCCTGCAGAGAACCAGTGCACACATTGGGTTCCTTACTGGCTGGGAAACATGAAAGTAAGCCTTTGAATGGTGTGCTTCGGTATCCAAAGGATGGCAGCAACTCATCCATTCCAGAATTCAGAAGGAGCCGATCTTCTCCTCGTGGAAAATATATGATTTTACCTTGAGGAATAATTAGTACATGGCCTGGATTTCAGTTGACAACCACTAAATATTTTGGAGTTCTGAGTTGCATAATTTTCGCACAAGATTTAGCGGATGGTGAAATCCTTGGAGGTGAATGGAACTTTCTCTTACATTTTTGTATGAGTTCTCTTTTACAAATTTAATGTACATATTGTCACCCTTATATTCTTCACAGTATATTTGGTAATTTAAAGTTTGTGTACCTATGGCATTACTCTACTTGCTGATAGAAGTCGAATGTATGATATTTTATGTATGAAGTACTTTGTTAATCTGTTTGGTTCAATTCAAGTAAATCAAATCATCACCAACTAATGCATGATTTTCAGGTTAAACTCTATGTGCCTTGTAACCTCTTTTTCGGTTGGGGGAGTTAGTTCTTGGAGATTCTTTCAATTTGCCTCTGAAATATCAGAAATGTTACTGAGTTTTACTCTTATTTTTTTCCCGCGAAATTACTATGCTTCTATCTCTCCCCAACCTTTTTTTTTTTTCGGTATATAGGAAAAGTTAAAAGGGGTTATTTGAACCCTCTAGCAAAGGAGATACATTACAGATCATTCAAAAGAAATTGCCCCAACACAACACAGGCGGTGGGGTATCAAAAAACACACAAGCATCCTGTTGAAGCCCTCCCAGGCGAGCCATCTTGTCAGCGCAGAAGTTACCTTCTCTCAGAGTGTGAAGAATGGGGGTGTTTGTCGATCCCATTATGTGCTTACAATTGGCAATGATATTCCTTTCGGGGTGGAAGTCCTCCAACCTAGCAGTGATTAGGTTGAGGGCATCCAGGGAGGGAGTCAGTTTCTATGATCACCTCCTTTAGGTTATGAGTTTGTATAATCTTGAGGCCTTGATAAATCGCCCATATTTCAGCTTGAAGGCAGTTGGAGTCCTTTAACTTCCCGTAGAAGCCAAGCTGCCACTTTCCTTGATCATTCCTTAGCAGTCCTCCAAAAGCAGCCGAACCAGGATTCCCTTTAGAGCTACCATCCACATTCATCTTCATCCAACCTGCAGGAGGGAAAGACAAACCAATGAGATTGTCGAACCCCCTGTGCAATGAAAACAACAGAGAGAAGCTGGAACCCATTACCCAATTTCGCAACAACTAGCTCCATGCCAACAATTCACAAGCGCTACAAATCCTCACAAATACTTCAACAAGTGGCTACATGCCAAAAACTTACGAGTGCCCCCAATATATCCATTACCCATCGATAGCACCAGCTTGTGCAACAAACCCGTTACCCACGTATGCATAGGTCAAATCCAAAATTTCAAAGATAAAGTATTCCTAAAAAAAAATAGATGATGAATTGGGCAGAAATTCAACTGAAACAAGTATTGCTGAAATACTTCTCAACCCTTGAAGGAAATCGTGAAGCTTGAAGAGATACAGAGAGAGAAATCTTGGGGCTTCAACACCCGTTATGAGAGGGAGAGAGAGAAATGGTTGGGCAAGAGAGTGAGAGTGCGTAGACTCTCATATGGAGCCTGGCAGACGGAGACGGAGAATGAAGAGGAAGGGTTTGACGATTGCAATTTGGGGGAATATTGTGGAGAGCTGCCCATAAAACTATGCCGTTTAGGGGGGAAAAAGGGGGGAAATGCTTAAGTGTGCTCAATTTTCTCAAACGGTGTCGTTTCAAGATTTTTGTTAAATAAATCAAGTAGAAGGTGCAACTTGGGCGGGTTGTGAGGCAAACCCTAACTCAATTATAGATATATAATTTTTAATCCTAACTCTATCTCAACTCGAGTACTGACTGAGTTTAATTCGGGTGAGCTCGGATTAAATTTAGATTACATAATTCGAATTGATTTCAGATTAAAAATCGGCTTGAGCTTGAGTTACTTAATTCAAGTTAATTTTTTGAAATGTAGATTTAATTTTTTCAAGTGTAGATCTGATTTTTTTAAGTGCTCTGAGATGAAAGGTGAGGCGCAGATGAAGAGAGAGAGAGAGGAATGACAAGTGAGAAAGGAATTTAAGAGTGATGGAGGCACAATAGTGAAAACCTGAAATAAAGTAAAATTTTAAATTTTAAAGAGCGAAGATAAATACTAACCCTAGTTAAATATATTTATATATTTATGTATATTCGAGTTGAACCCAACAATCCAAGGCTTACCTAAATACAATTCGTGTTGAAATTTTTTGCCTAGTCCCAACCCAAGTATTAAAAATTTTAACTCAAACCTTATTTTTTTCGAGTTGGACTATAGTTGAATTCGAGTTGCCCTGTCCGCCTAAGTTGCACCCCTAACTGAAGCTCAAATTTTAAAACTCCTTTAATTAATAAATGAGGTGAATTCAAACAAGATTTTTTCAATTTCGTCCTAACACAAGCCTAAACTCAAGTTTAAATTCTAGTTAAATTTCTTTAATCTAAATGAATTGAACTCTTTACTCTAATTTTTTGGAATAAAAAAATATATATATTTATTTTTTTATTCAAAACATTTAGAATAAATATATCTCATTTAGACAATATGTTCTCTAAAATAGATATCACTTTTGGAGATTCTCCAACCTTGAATAAGATTTTAAAGCTCCCTTTTTTTTTTGCCGATAAAAAAAAATGGGAACAAAAAAAAAGCGTTCAAAAACCATACCGATAAGTCTTCGCTAGTGAAATAATAAGGTCCTTAACTGCACCTTTTACCCCTCTTAGGAACAAACCTAACTAAGTTAGCATAGTGATAAACTACTCAGTTTCAAAATGAACTCCAAAACTCGAAACTCCAACATCTTAATGAGAAATTCAGTCGATACCCCACTTAATGGTTTGAAACTCCTTACAATCATCTCAAGCCGATCCCAAATAATACTCTTTACGAACAAGAACAATAATGATGTCGAGGGAAACTACAAAAGGGGCATTTTCCAGTAAAATTGTTAAACGTTAACGTTTTGCTGGCTCCTCCATCGTTTAAGTCGAACAGAAACAATGGAATGATGTCGTACTTCAGTCCATGCCATTTCTTTCCTCCATTTTTTTTCTCATCATGGATGGATAGAGGCAAAGGGCTGGATGGATTCAAATTCTGCCGAACTTCATAGAAAGTAGTGAATATACAAAAATGATGGAAAAGATATCAAATCTAAATGCAACTTAAAACACACAAAATAATACCAAGTGAAATTCATCCAAAAGGAAACATATTCGTATGCAATAACCCAACCTAAATCCGACTCCCTATACAATTTATAGCACTGAGAAGAAATAAAGGGTACTCGACTAACGCGTACCCAAGATGATGGTCATAAACACAGTATTCATTCGGGCAATCCCCAGAATTGCACCATAATGCTACAGAGCCACTAAAAAAAAAGGAATGAAAGTAGCAGCAGTAGAAGAAAAAGCATGATTATCAACATTAATATGAAGTTTTGAGCATTAGATTACCTATCAAAGGTCAATTGGCCACCAGTAGTCGACAATGAATATTAGAGGAGCAAAACTATGACATACAGAAGGTGACAGATTTTCTTTAGGGATAATCTAATTTCCGCTGAATCTGTAGACATTGCAAGAAACAAAAAAAGAAACACCGTTTCAGATTGCAAAGCCCACCATTAATCAAAGTTGAATGCATAAATCCTATCAGCTGCATCCGAAGATTGGGTTGTAGGAGATCCATGCATGTTAAAAGTCCGGTACAAATCATCATTTTCAGACAAGGGCCACTCTACTTATAGTAACAAATGTCTTGGATCGGCCTCGGTTTATCTGCAAAAGCAGATATACAAATAAATATTTTTTCCAAAAAATCTAATTAGTAAACTCCTTCCATGCAGACACACACACTGCATTCACCAGCACACCTAAAACTAACTCGTCAAAGCTACTTCAAATTCTGCATCCACTTTTGCAACACTTCGATCAAGCTACAGGTTATATTGCCCTATTAGCACATAAAAACCTACTAGTGGACAGCAAAGATCACGAGTTCAGCTGGTATGAGTTACACATATTAACTCATCAAAACTACAATCACACACGAGCCCATACATGTAAATTTCCACCATCTTGAATGCTCCTTGAGCTCGCTTAAAAAAATAACTATTGCAAGCAAACATGATAAAGTTACACACAAACCATTGAATACTCGTATGGCAACTGACTTACGAAATGCTTGCCCCTTGATGATGGTAATGGAGAAAACAAATGCCAAAGTACTTGGGGGTAATATTAAGAAAAAATGACCACTTCTGTGTGCCAATCAAACAGTTAGATTATGAAGTACTTAGGGTTTAGAGGGATAGAAGAGAACAACAAGAGGAAAAGAGACGAGATATAAAAAGAGAGTAGTGAGTTAGGGTTACACAGCTATATCCCAATTTATATATCTACCACAAGTACCAAAAATACTCTTAAGCCAGAAATACATTATAACATAACATAACATAACATAAACAATAAAACAATTTGGAGGAAGCACAAAATTTCAGCACAAGATGCGACTACATTCCCGAAAAGCTAGGGCAAGCCCAAAATATAGTTCTTTCTGCGAAATTCAAAGCTTTCTCCTCCATTATTCTATGTTCTTCAAAGCTTTTTTCGCATCATCGTTCTGGTATGTTGTAGGCCCATGTCTAGTTAGATATTCTACTGTATTCTTTAAAATCAACCTCCACAAAGCAAGATGTATGTGACTCAGTTGTCCATGTATATGCATAGATACATACATACACAAACATAATTTTTATTGCTTTAGTCTTGTATTTCAATACTTCGCATGTAGCCTTGTCCCAACTTGGTCTTGAACCCGCCACCCTTCAAGAGATTAGAAAGGAGATACCATTCAAATTAATAAGTTTACAGGTGCCATTATTCATTGCAAATTTAAATAATTATTTCTTTTAGTTTCGAATCCAGAGGCATAGACAGACAAGGAACACATATAGCAAACAAGTGGATGAGACTATACTTCCTGATGGATTGCATGCTATCCCATTGACATCGTTCAAAACCTACACGTTTCTAAATAAAATTAATAACCAAATGGATAAAAATTTCTTGACATTAGATGTGAGAGAAGAAAGCCAATATAGAAGTTTATGCTCTAACAACTGATAATAAAACAATTGTAAAACGCCCAACATAATTCAAATAATTTAATTTCAAAGGAGAGGAGAAAACCTAACATGTACACGGCATTCATCACAGGATTGAATGCCTGCAATGCTGGGGTCACATCCATTATAGAGAAATTTATCTCAACCAAAGCCAAATCCTTCACTAGCTTCATGGATGGCGAGTAGCAAGCACTCTTGAAGCTGATCCTTGGAAGTATACTCGGGAAGGTCTAGTTGGTTAAAGCTGGAAAAACCCGACATAAAATAACGTGTAATCAATCATTTTGCTGCAAGAAATGAAGTATAGATATAGTCTCAAGTCTTAACACTGCATCTATGTTACATGGACTAGTCTGGTTACATGTGGGCCATGTCAACACGTCACAAGACATAATGACACAGGCATGGGATCTGAGTTGGACATGGCACTCGGTATATCGGATATAGCTAAGCACGCTATCTCGGTAACTAGGGCTGACATCCAATGAAGTGCAAAGCTCTACTCTCCAAAATTTGTAATGGCTTCATGTGCATGGATTCGAATAGATGCTTATTGGAATATAATTGCAGGGGAGGGGTGAGGGTAAAGGGTGTGTATGTGCTGGTGTGCCTGTTTCTCCAGGTTCAGTAGAACAAATCGAAGAGGAGATGACACAGGCTTGAACAATCCCTCACTGACTGTCTGATATTTTTGAGCGGTCATAATTATCATTAAGTCCCACGTCATTCAACTTGCATCCAACAATATCGTCACAGTAATTTTAACCTGCATAAAACATTGACATAGAGTGTCAATTGTTCCCAATGTATCGCCTTACCCCTACCCCAATCTTTGATCACTTTTCGAATGAATCCCATTATGCTAAGATTTTGTGTTGAAGAAGGTCCAACGCCTAGACATGTACCTATACCAGACACAAAGCACCCAAGTCCATGTAACATACCACAGCTTATATCAATTGATCTAAGCACTGACCAGGTATGAGCCGATGGCAGGCGCTCAGGAGCTCCATATGCCTTGTGAATCTGAAACCTTTGGGGACCAGAAATGCCTTGCAATGCTTTAAAACCCTCCAAAGGAACCTAAGAAACCAAAACACAGGTTTAATGGCTTTCGGAATTATAGAAATCAGTAGAAGCTCGCTATTATTCTGAAAAATCCATGCAGTTTCCTACATCGTCATTAGATCAGTCAGCTAAACCTCTTTCAACAAATTGTTATCAACTCAACCGGCCAAAGCGATGTAATCTATCCCAGGATACATCAATCTTGCATATGCATATATTACGTGGAACATCCCCAATTCCCCAACAAGAAACCTCATATCGCACCACAAGGATTGGCTTCAATGTACCAAACCCCCTCCTTGCAAATAAGAAAATGGAATCAATAAAGTCAATCAAACTTAAGTCTAGGCATATCTCAAGCAACATGGACCGTATTGTGTTCTCACATTCAAGGATCAAAATTTCAGGATTGAATCGTTCAAGGTGCTTTGAGATATTTTGTGATGTTTTGGCATATTTTCACTGATGTTTTAGAATGTTTCAATATATTTATATTTAATCAATGTTTCAAAATATTTTGGACACAAATACTCAATTTTTTTGTTTCTTTTTTTCATTCCATTTCTAAAACATTTTCCAAATATTTCTATTTCATAGATGACCAAAATAATGCATCGAAACGAAATTTTGACATTTAACATGGAAAAGGCTCAAAAAATCATTGGTAGAATATCAGTAACATTTATTGGACATCAAGTATGCGTCTTCATTCATCATAATAAAATACAACATTCCTGTAGATATGCCAGAATATTCGTACAGATACGCTGGGGGAGACAACAAAGTCAGAGGTGGAGGGGGGGTTGGGGTTGGTTGGACATCCTTGTTTAATTATTCAACTGAGCAAGTCCCACAGTCTCCTATACGGAAATAAAGTCTCCTACACGGAAATAAAGCCCCGCTGTCCACGGAAAGGACAGTAAAAAACAGCAAAAAGGTTGGGAAAGAAGCAGTTCCAAGATAATTTTGGACAATGTAGAGAAACAATATGGTTTCAGGAGTGATGATATTAATGTCATGCCTCAAGTTACCTTTGATGTACCAGTTATAAATTGTAAGAATCTTGCCATGTCTTCCTTGTTAAAGGCTTTGACAACCTCCCAAAACCACTGAACAACAATTGATGCTGCTGTGCAGCCAGTATACTCAGAGTTGGCCTTCAGATCATCGACTGTAATTAAAATCATGTCACTCGGATATCATTTTGAAAAATAATTATAAGGCACACATTGAATAAGTGGAAGGTAAGCCGACTCACAATCAATTTCTGGAAGCCCACTGATTAGTAGCTCAAGCTCTTTATCATTAAATATGGAAATAAGTTCACGCGGCACCAATTAATTGAAACCTTCTAGGAAGGAATTAATTTGAGGACGAATAGCATTTGTCAAAATATGATCAGCCACAAGGTCCACATATTCATNACGGCACTAATTAATTGAAACCTTCTAGGAAGGAATTAATTTGAGGACGAATAGCATTTGTCAAAATATGATCAACCACAAGGTCCACATATTCATGCTTTGTTTCTTCGTTGACCCTTATATTTCTTCCTCCGGGTTTGAGCTCATAATCGGTAACCTTTTTCCAAGTAGTTGCAATACAAAAAAAAAAGTATACTAAGAGGGGTGTCATAAAACATTCAAATATAAATACACACACACATATATATAACCATACAGTGAGTTCAAGTACCCCCCTGGGGCCACCAAGAGGAAATTATCCTATTAATTGCCCAATAAGGGATCGGATGACCGCATGTGCAATGGACGATTGGGTGCTCGAAGAGGCTCAAATATATCCTTAGATGGAAAAGCTCACACACGCAGACTCAAATCAAACATAAGAGCCCTCTAAATTAAAAAAATTGCTAAACAATGGATGAACACAGTAATTGTGCATGAATTTGTACTTTCATACCTCTGTTTTCTCATAGAGAATGAGTTTTTCTTCATCCGCATCCATGCTAAATGTCAGATCGGGGATATCACTCACATCATTCTGAAAAAAAGAAAATTTTAAATAACTGTCATACCCCCAAAAAAGAATGCTGATGTCAGACCAAGATAGACCAAATTACTAGAAATCACTCACCTCCAGCATCCACTTCAAGTTTTTGTAGTAATCAGGATCAACAGCTTCAATATTATGATAAATCACTTTTACTCCAAGAATGTGCTTGTAAAAGGACCGAGTGAAATAAACATCCAACAGTTGCCCATCAAACAGTGCCTTAGCAACCCATAAGAGGGATTGTGATACAGACATTAAAATTATAACATAAGAAATGAGAATAGACACCACAAAGAAAATCCCAGCTCAGAATTCAAGGTGACCACAAAAATTACCACGCGGCCAACAAATTTGAAGTATGAAAGATGTTCAGTCTGATAGACAGAATTAGGGTTCGGTTGGAAGGTTGCATTGTTTCCCACAGTTGTGAAAAGCAAAGCCCCTTTATCAAATATAACTCTTGACAGTAATTGATACCACTCTCTCGTCAACCCAGCAGCATCAATACCCTCTTCACCGTGAAAATGCACATTCAAGCGTCCCTTCAGGTCTTGATTTGGTCGCATTCGCAACTGGTTATACGAGTCCTCTAAAACATATGCCCGTTGAACGCTGATCCGCAGTGGTCCAGATAAGTGTTGGTCATGCTGCTGCCTAATTCTTGAGCGAAAATAAGCCCTTTTGTTGTCAAAATCAATCAGCCGGGGGGCTTTCAGCATCATACAAAGTGATTTCTCCAACAAGCCAGGATTCTGCCTGACAAAAGCATTCAGCAGCCGGTGATGCTTCTCAGCAAACCTTGCAAATGTGACAGCACCATCAAGCCTCCTCTGAGAATCCACTCCACATTTCATAGACAACGGAGATGAACTCCCTGCGAACTCCTTGACTTCTCTTGCAGTTGAGTAGGAGGAATGATCTTGCTGCATGATGGAATTGTTTGCTTGTAGTTTTTCACACAAAACAAAGTAAGCCTCAATAAAAGGCAAGAGTCTCTGGGTTCCAGGAGGAAGAGGAGGAGATGATAGAGACGAAGAACCCTGTACTTGCTCCCCAACATTCATATTTGACATAATTGGCGAAAAAGAGCTCTGTTCCAGCTCTGTCTCGGTTGTACTTATTCAGTCACTCAATTCTTGCCACAATGGCTCAAGTGCAACATACAACTTCCACAAGGTTGCATGCTCATCCAGTTCCTCACCACTCTTCTTAACCTTATTCCGATCCACACTAGGTGAAGAGAGTGAGCTGAAAGTCTGTAGAACACAAAGGATTGCAGCCACAGCCATTGATCCGGCACTCAAACCCAGCATGTGTGTATTCCTTAGTGTGATAAGCTCACTGACGGCCAAGTTGTTCAAACTATGAGCTAAATCTGAAAGCTCCATAATAAAGAATTTTCGATGGGAAGCAGCAACCAAGGCCAACTTTTCAGCACCTCCCCAGCAAGCGTGTAAACTTTGTCTGCGAGCCTGATTGATAAAAAGACTGGGTTACACACTCAAAGAGTGCAACAAAATACTAGAAGCAAATAACAAAAAGAAGGGGAAGAGGTAAGGAATTGGAAATACAAGGAAAAAAATTCAGATTTATTGAGAACAAGCAGGCTTTTGCAAACAGAGGCTTGTTGTTTTTTGTTTTGTTTTTTTTTTTTTTGGGGGGGGGGGGGAGGATACGTATATTGTCAGAACTCAGACTCCAGAAATAAGACTAAGGAAGAAATAATACCCTTCATGGCCAAGAAGGCTGCACAGATTGTGCAAATCAGATTGTGGCCTCTGTAAGAAGATATCATACATATTGGTGCTTCTCTGTCCCTCTGATGTATGTAACTCACCACTGGCACCTAAATCACCTTGAATAGCTTCCATTTCTGACAAAGGAGGATCTTTTGGTACATCACTCACAGTTTCATTGCCAGATAGATTTTGAGAACTGACTACAGCTTGTTCTGAATTAGATTGACAATCTAATTTTGATGCTGCAGTATAGACAACTACTTGGAGCAGACCCATGACCTGCACCATACGAATATTATGAAAACAAATAAATCTGAGAAAAGAGTAAAATGCAAGCCACTTCATGAGGTTGAATGATAGCACCATTTTACAGGAGCTTACTCACACCTGTTCGAGATGGGCAATGCTGCGCAAGAAAAGCGGTTGACTCAAGAGTTTAAGAAACAGTATCACAGGAACATCCCCCTTCCGAGAACCTCCTAAAGAGTCTGACGAATATCCTAGTTCCACAATTTTCTCCTTGCCTTTATCCTTCTTGGTTTCCAAATATTTTTGATTTGATGACTCTGGAATAAGTGACTGATCAAAGTAAACAAGATATTGGCAAAAGCAGAATGATTGGCGGCCAGATAAGTCAAAATCTCAAGAATACGACGCAGCACCAGAGGAGGCAGACCTGCAAATGAACAAACTTGTGAATTAGAGGTCAGCGTGTTCACTTATTTCGGGAAAAAAAAATCTCTTCATATAAAAATCAAACAAATGTTGTCAATCTAAAAGCAGTAGGTACCGTCCAACAACTGAGATTGACCATATACAACATTGGACTGACAACCATATAGCCTCTGGGAGTTAACTGTCAACAATCTGCCAACTGGGCCTTCAGTCTCTGGCCCAATCATGTCAAGCAGAAGGCGAACTAGAATTGCCCTTGTACAGCTATGTGCACATAAGTTTAACAGAAATCTCTGCAAAAAGCCTTTCCCAAGAGGCTGCAAGCATATTAAAGAAATAAGATTCACCACTTAAGTTGAACATCAACAGAGTTTACAAAATAAATATATGAAAATTGTATGCCCAACCAAAATTAAAGAAATTATGCAGAAAATTTTGTTCCAGGTTCTAACTGCAATAAAAGTTCTGAGCTATTCAAAAATTTATCAATTTACAATAAGAAGTTATTCACATCAGGGAACGCCATGGCTCCATCATCTTGACCAAAAACAAAAGTTAACATGAAACCAAAGCCAATTATCCTTGGTTCATTCTTTCAAAAGTAACAAGAATTAACTAAAAGATATTAAGAAGTTCCAGGTTGGAAAAATAAGAGATCCTTCTTCAACCAGAAAAGGCTGAAAGCAAAAAAGAAATGAATTGTCCACTAAAGATTTTCCCCAAAAAAAACCCCCCGAGTTCCTTGAGGAAGTATTCCACAAGAAGATGAACCGATACAAAAGTAATTTCCATCCAGCCCCTATACTAAATCTCATTTTTTTGGTTGGGCTTTTTTGTTTGCTTTGATCTCTTGAACAACAAATTAGCGACTTGATGAACTTCATGTGTACAGTTACATATATACGTTGCATTCTCACAAACATATCAGCTGGTAAGCTGGGTAGCTTTCAAATTTTGGCCACCAAATAAACCAATAAATGAGATATGAATCACCAGCGCTAATAGTAATAGGCGGATCAATGCTTTCAAAGCATTTGCATCCAAGAGTGGCTCCCCTTCAANCAGCACCTCCCCAGCAAGCGTGTAAACTTTGTCTGCGAGCCTGATTGATAAAAAGACTGGGTTACACACTCAAAGAGTGCAACAAAATACTAGAAGCAAATAACAAAAAGAAGGGGAAGAGGTAAGGAATTGGAAATACAAGGAAAAAAATTCAGATTTATTGAGAACAAGCAGGCTTTTGCAAACAGAGGCTTGTTGTTTTTTGTTTTGTTTTTTTTTTTTTTGGGGGGGGGGGGGGGGATACGTATATNTTGTAATGCCAACACCTCTATCCATCACTGCCTGTCTGTCGAACCCCAATCCATTTCTCAGTACCAAGCCTGTGGCTACTTCCAAACAAGCTGCGAGCCTGATAATGACTCATTTCNAGAACTCAGACTCCAGAAATAAGACTAAGGAAGAAATAATACCCTTCATGGCCAAGAAGGCTGCACAGATTGTGCAAATCAGATTGTGGCCTCTGTAAGAAGATATCATACATATTGGTGCTTCTCTGTCCCTCTGATGTATGTAACTCACCACTGGCACCTAAATCACCTTGAATAGCTTCCATTTCTGACAAAGGAGGATCTTTTGGTACATCACTCACAGTTTCATTGCCAGATAGATTTTGAGAACTGACTACAGCTTGTTCTGAATTAGATTGACAATCTAATTTTGATGCTGCAGTATAGACAACTACTTGGAGCAGACCCATGACCTGCACCATACGAATATTATGAAAACAAATAAATCTGAGAAAAGAGTAAAATGCAAGCCACTTCATGAGGTTGAATGATAGCACCATTTTACAGGAGCTTACTCACACCTGTTCGAGATGGGCAATGCTGCGCAAGAAAAGCGGTTGACTCAAGAGTTTAAGAAACAGTATCACAGGAACATCCCCCTTCCGAGAACCTCCTAAAGAGTCTGACGAATATCCTAGTTCCACAATTTTCTCCTTGCCTTTATCCTTCTTGGTTTCCAAATATTTTTGATTTGATGACTCTGGAATAAGTGACGGATCAAAGTAAACAAGATATTGGCAAAAGCAGAATGATTGGCGGCCAGATAAGTCAAAATCTCAAGAATACGACGCAGCACCAGAGGAGGCAGACCTGCAAATGAACAAACTTGTGAATTAGAGGTCAGCGTGTTCACTTATTTCGGGAAAAAAAAATCTCTTCATATAAAAATCAAACAAATGTTGTCAATCTAAAAGCAGTAGGTACCGTCCAACAACTGAGATTGACCATATACAACATTGGACTGACAACCATATAGCCTCTGGGAGTTAACTGTCAACAATCTGCCAACTGGGCCTTCAGTCTCTGGCCCAATCATGTCAAGCAGAAGGCGAACTAGAATTGCCCTTGTACAGCTATGTGCACATAAGTTTAACAGAAATCTCTGCAAAAAGCCTTTCCCAAGAGGCTGCAAGCATATTAAAGAAATAAGATTCACCACTTAAGTTGAACATCAACAGAGTTTACAAAATAAATATATGAAAATTGTATGCCCAACCAAAATTAAAGAAATTATGCAGAAAATTTTGTTCCAGGTTCTAACTGCAATAAAAGTTCTGAGCTATTCAAAAATTTATCAATTTACAATAAGAAGTTATTCACATCAGGGAACGCCATGGCTCCATCATCTTGACCAAAAACAAAAGTTAACATGAAACCAAAGCCAATTATCCTTGGTTCATTCTTTCAAAAGTAACAAGAATTAACTAAAAGATATTAAGAAGTTCCAGGTTGGAAAAATAAGAGATCCTTCTTCAACCAGAAAAGGCTGAAAGCAAAAAAGAAATGAATTGTCCACTAAAGATTTTCCCCAAAAAAAACCCCCCGAGTTCCTTGAGGAAGTATTCCACAAGAAGATGAACCGATACAAAAGTAATTTCCATCCAGCCCCTATACTAAATCTCATTTTTTTGGTTGGGCTTTTTTGTTTGCTTTGATCTCTTGAACAACAAATTAGCGACTTGATGAACTTCATGTGTACAGTTACATATATACGTTGCATTCTCACAAACATATCAGCTGGTAAGCTGGGTAGCTTTCAAATTTTGGCCACCAAATAAACCAATAAATGAGATATGAATCACCAGCGCTAATAGTAATAGGCGGATCAATGCTTTCAAAGCATTTGCATCCAAGAGTGGCTCCCCTTCAACTTCAAGCTCTCTGCAAGAGCAGAAGATCCCCTTCGGCCAATTGTAATGCCAACACCTCTATCCATCACTGCCTGTCTGTCGAACCCCAATCCATTTCTCAGTACCAAGCCTGTGGCTACTTCCAAACAAGCTGCGAGCCTGATAATGACTCATTTCTCTATCCCTCAACATTTGCGCTTCAGAAAGTAATGGAGAGGGCAATGCTGATAGAACACAAAACCACAAGAAACCACAAAGCTTTTTCAGATAACTTGTCTCTCCATTCATCAGGTCCAACAGTTTTATCTATAGACAGAGAAAGAAGTCGATGTAGAACATGATGCACTATCCCACCATGTCCTGGACTATCTGGTTGATTAGATCCCCGGGGTGGACCCGTTTCCAAATCCTGTCTCAGTATAACCCCAACTGCAAGCACATACATCAAGAGAATATCACTCAATAACTTGAGGACAAAAGTCACCTTAGCTAACCCTGCTGATCTTTCTGATTGACTGTCTGATTCAATCTTCGTTGCCTCATCAACCTTCAATTTACCCTTTACCTTGGTAGCAGGTTTATCAACCTCCATTGCACTTGGATAATTTGTGCAATCGTCCTCACTGCTTGGGGAAGGAAATTTCATTACAATTTCAAGAAGATGATCAATTACCATAGTAAGACTTGCAGGAATTCTTTTGTGGCCTTTAGAACACTTAGCTGGGCCATCATGGGTTTTATTTTCAGGGATTCGANTGATCAAAGTAAACAAGATATTGGCAAAAGCAGAATGATTGGCGGCCAGATAAGTCAAAATCTCAAGAATACGACGCAGCACCAGAGGAGGCAGACCTGCAAATGAACAAACTTGTGAATTAGAGGTCAGCGTGTTCACTTATTTCGGGAAAAAAAAATCTCTTCATATAAAAATCAAACAAATGTTGTCAATCTAAAAGCAGTAGGTACCGTCCAACAACTGAGATTGACCATATACAACATTGGACTGACAACCATATAGCCTCTGGGAGTTAACTGTCAACAATCTGCCAACTGGGCCTTCAGTCTCTGGCCCAATCATGTCAAGCAGAAGGCGAACTAGAATTGCCCTTGTACAGCTATGTGCACATAAGTTTAACAGAAATCTCTGCAAAAAGCCTTTCCCAAGAGGCTGCAAGCATATTAAAGAAATAAGATTCACCACTTAAGTTGAACATCAACAGAGTTTACAAAATAAATATATGAAAATTGTATGCCCAACNAAAGGCCATTCCCAAGAGGCTGCAAGCATATTAAAGAAATAAGATTCAACACTTAAGTTGAACATCAACAGAGTTTACAAAATAAATATATGAAAATTGTATGCCCAACCAAAATTAAAGAAATTATGCAGAAAATTTTGTTCCAGGTTCTAACTGCAATAAAAGTTCTGAGCTATTCAAAAATTTATCAATTTACAATAAGAAGTTATTCACATCAGGGAACGCCATGGCTCCATCATCTTGACCAAAAACAAAAGTTAACATGAAACCAAAGCCAATTATCCTTGGTTCATTCTTTCAAAAGTAACAAGAATTAACTAAAAGATATTAAGAAGTTCCAGGTTGGAAAAATAAGAGATCCTTCTTCAACCAGAAAAGGCTGAAAGCAAAAAAGAAATGAATTGTCCACTAAAGATTTTCCCCAAAAAAAACCCCCCGAGTTCCTTGAGGAAGTATTCCACAAGAAGATGAACCGATACAAAAGTAATTTCCATCCAGCCCCTATACTAAATCTCATTTTTTTGGTTGGGCTTTTTTGTTTGCTTTGATCTCTTGAACAACAAATTAGCGACTTGATGAACTTCATGTGTACAGTTACATATATACGTTGCATTCTCACAAACATATCAGCTGGTAAGCTGGGTAGCTTTCAAATTTTGGCCACCAAATAAACCAATAAATGAGATATGAATCACCAGCGCTAATAGTAATAGGCGGATCAATGCTTTCAAAGCATTTGCATCCAAGAGTGGCTCCCCTTCAACTTCAAGCTCTCTGCAAGAGCAGAAGATCCCCTTCGGCCAATTGTAATGCCAACACCTCTATCCATCACTGCCTGTCTGTCGAACCCCAATCCATTTCTCAGTACCAAGCCTGTGGCTACTTCCAAACAAGCTGCGAGCCTGATAATGACTCATTTCTCTATCCCTCAACATTTGCGCTTCAGAAAGTAATGGAGAGGGCAA